CCTCGTGTCAATGTCTGGAAACAACTAATGGATAGAGAGATAAAGCGGGTTTGACACCTTGGTTTCAACAAACTATCATGCCTCGTACAGCCGTGGAGGATGCACCATTATGGATTGATAAGAAGAATAGCGGGACAACTTTTGTTTGTTGACGGAGGGAGGATGTGTCTTCAATAATTACCAAGCAATGGAAGGAAGAGATGGTGAGGGAGAAAAGACAAATCTCACTCGGTCAAAAACAAAAGTTGTCCCGCTATTCTTCTTATCAATCCATAATGGTGCATCCTCCACGGCTGTACGAGGCATGATAGTTTGTTGAAACCAAGGTGTCAAACCCGCTTTATCTCTCTATCCATTAGTTGTTTCCAGACATTGACACGAAGGACAAAAGGTTTGTGATCCGGCAACATCCCCACTTTCATTGGCTTGAAAATGTTCATTGAGAGAGAAGGTGATGGAGAATACTCACCCAATCGGTGGGTACTGTCCGATACATTAATCTCTCCGGTATATCCGCCGTTCCGTAGGCAGAGACCGTAACCCTCCACGCGCTCAGGAATACCTCGGCTGGAATTCAGTGGGGTTATGGACGGGGATACGCGAGTGACTTACCAACTGCAGGAGGGGAAAGGGAGATGTATCAGCTGTCGTTGTTAACTTGGATTGTTCTGCTTACTGACTGTAAGTTAGCAGGTTTTCAGTCATGGAGTGGAAAGGGAAAGGTGAATAGTGTCAATGAAGCTACTTGAAGGGCTGAGTGAGCACTTCTCCTAAGTTGATCCAGGGGTGAGGTCAATGAGAACGGGTCAGGTAGGAGCGGATGAAGAAGTAATCTTACAATGAAAGTAGTGAGCGAGGAAAGATTGTCCATTGGGACCAGGTTCGTCGTTGAAGAACATCTGTCATCAGTGATCTTCATCTTGTGTCTCAATCACCATGAAGGTCTGCTCTCATCTCCGTCACACTCATGAAGAAGTACTAGATGAGGCAGGGAGGTAGAATCTGCCAGCGGGAACGAATTGGAACGAATGCTCTACATCATGATAAAAGGTGAAGAGTTGATTGACTCTGACACGAAGAGGGATCAAAAGAGTAAGACGATTCTGGTTCAGGAGACAGAATGAGGAAGGAATTATGTAGGCACGTATGAGCGTGTTCCGTTCGTCGTCGTAACAACCATCCTTAGGAGTGGATTGAGTGAAATAGCATGAACGACTCACCGACAAGCCAGTCTTCCTCACCGCCGTCGGACCCAAAACGTCCATCGCCTCATTAGGATGTAAAAACCTTAATCTGTCTTCTCCCGCCGGTGGATGTTGTCGATTGGCCAGAGGAGAGTCACACATGATTTCCCCTACTGAAGGCATACGTTGAGGTATAGGTGTGATTATGAACCATGTTCCGTTCCGAAGATATATATTTTCCCATAGTGCTATAGTATCAGAATACTCCTCTATATCTCTACCCACATAATAGCATTCTTTTTTATAGGTACAAATGTGTGTTTTTCAACCCACACAACCGTAAACTAGATATGAAAGTAATGGCTTCTAGTCGGAGGGAGTTCATACAGGAAGCGTGTGTGGACGCTCGGGAAAGGGTGACAACTGGAAGAGAGATGAGTGGAAGAGGAGTGAATGACTCACTCGTCCCTGCGATCCCTTTAACATACCCCGTTATCTGTCCAACACTGACATAAACCGATCCATTCTCGGTAGAAGGAATGGAAACAGGTCCGGAATAAGAATAAAGCGTAAACAATATGACAGCTGCTACCGCGGCCGAAACAAAAGTTCGGATTCTACTAGGCATCAGGTTATATCCACCTTGATGGGGTAGACCGCGGGTACGGCGTTTAGGAGAATGAGGAATGGTGTTGGAAAAGGACTCGAAGAGATGAGAAAAAAAGACAGGAACTGGATTTGTCCGATCGGTTTTTGATGGCTGATCGTTTGATCGTTGATCGTCGATGATTGATGGTCGATCAGGTCCAAAGGAGGTTCGTCACCAGCATACGACGACGGACGGAGGTGTGTGTGGAGGATGATAGAAAGGGATGAAGACGAGGAGGACACAGAGGTGAGAAGTGACAGAGAAGGAATGAAGTTTATAGGGTGGATAAGATAGAGTTTGAACCCGTCCAAAATGCAGGGTGATGGAGGAAGGGTGGATTACATCTCGTTGCTTCTTTCCAACCTGCACTTGATCGATATGATAAACATCTTCGTTTCACGTATCTCACACACTAGTAACTTGTGAAATATCAATGAGCAGGCAGCGAGTGGTTTGTCTGGTCAACTACAAGTCTATGAATACTTCTTTCGACGCTGTATCTACCGGCCGCTCAGCCCCCGTACCTGTCAACACCCTCATGGCCCTCATCTTATCATCGAGACTTCAGGCATGTCCTTCGACTCAGCCAATCGTCACAACGGAATATCTACAACCCAGCTATCCCATCAACTTCATCTATCTCCTGAGCCTCCTCACCATGTACATCTTGAAGGAACAACTCTTCAAGGTCACTGAGGACGTCCAACTTCCAAGACGCGGCGTGTGAGAATACGCTTGTAGCGTCGCGATTTGCGTCAACATCAATCAGAGTGCCAGCGTCGGACTGGTCTTCTTCGTCTGGCTTATGAATCGAATCGAGTGCTCTGTAGATCAGCTGTGCGTTGATAGTGCCGATAACATGTCTCTCCGATCTGATCCTCCATCTATCAGGTCGGACGAAGGATGTATTCGGGACACAAATCAAAACCACCATGTCAGATCCCCGGAGAGTGCAGGAAGGAAGGAAATGAGGGGTATCGAGGAAAAGGTGCACCGACAAAGACCCAATTCCCGATACCATCACTTCATCCAACATATCCAAAGTCCTTCTCGACAACTTCGGCATCCTCTTCATCATCGTATAACCTCGCAACTCCTTATCATCCCAGACAAACCCCACGGTCTTCCTTCTCTTCACGATTCTTACCATTTCCCTTAACATCCCACCCACCCGTCTCAATGCCCCTTGCATCTTTGCTGCTACTCCAACAAAGGGCTCATCACATAGCTTTAGTCGATCCACTCGGTCACCACTAAAGTCACCACCGACGTGTCTGGCTAAATAAACTGTGGGCGTCTGAGAAAGTACAAGCTGGGTGTACATGTCGGGAATATCTTCGTCGATAATTTTCATCGAAGATCGGGTCTTGATCTCTAAAATCGATTCGAGCGATATCTCTGGATATCCTGAGGGAATCACACGCAGAGATTTACCGGGTATCTTCGAGGTTGGTTGACTTCTTGTTGTTGAGAGACTGATCGATCGGGGTTCTAATTTGTACGGTGGGATGTGTAGAGTCGATGGCAAGACTGAGGGCAATACCGCGTCGACATCAAAGCTGACAAGTAACACCAACCCGGCGAATCGATATCTGACCAACCCCCGACATCTGTCCAATTGCCTATCAACATCTCGGGGAGTGGTAGTATGAGCCAGCTTGTAAGCTACGTTATGACCATGACTATCCAGCGGGAAGGGACTGAGCCGATCGTGGGTTTCCCATCGATGGAATACCACCATTTCTCCGAAACACTCCGCGGTCATCCTCCATCGTCTTGATTGTGGGGGTGAATGGGATAGGTTGTCATGGGAGAGAGCCAGGTGAAGGAGTTTACGCAAATTGGAACGGTCGATGATGATATCGACATCGTGTAATTTGTCGGGGGTGACTGCGTGGAAAATTGGCTCTACTGGAGATAGATGTGGAAGAAGATGAGCCAAATTTTCTATTCGTCAGCGAGACTTGGAATAGATGGTGGATGAAGGTACCGTCGGCGATATCTGTCATCCCCAGATCCACATCTCGTTTCACCTTACCGACGTGTACGTTGTCATCCCAAGTTCGAGGACATCCTGTCCGTCAGCTCAGGATGCAGGGAAGATGAAGGCAGAGGAGATGGGTGTGAGGTTAATTAAAGATCAAGACACACCCGGGACCAGGATGGTGGGTTCTTCACCACCGATCCACGAGTAGCTTCCTACCATCTCAACTCCTTCGAATGTAGTGTCAGGGTGTTCAGCGGTGGTTTTCACCACCTCTATTTGTTCCCCGAGGTCGTCGTAAAGTTCACCTGAGGGCGGAACATTCTCGGGATTCTGTCTTCTAGGAAAACGCCTGGAGCGTACCGGAATCGCTCTAGCGGGTTCGACAAATGCCCGTTCTCCACTGAGGCGGACGAGACGATCTTGAAGGGAGAGACCGTCCCCACGCCCAAATCGAGACCTAGGGTACCTAGGGGTCAGACGCTCTGCCAGTAGAGATCGGTTGAGAGAGAGGGAGTCAGTACTCTGTGAGGAGGTCAAATTCGAGTATGGTGATGATGAATGTTTAGTAGGTGTACTTCTGGTAAGGGGGGATGGTTCAATTTCAGAAGAGTCAGAGGTCCGGCGGTGAGGTGGGATGTAAGTGGGAGTCATGATTATGAATCGCAACCCGAGTGGAGTATCAAGTGGCTATGATCGGATTGGTACGGGCGAGAAAATTAGTGAGCTATATATTAAGTAAGGGAACACCAAAAAAGATGATGAAGAGTCAAATGTCAAGAGGAGAAGGGTGGCGAGACTACGGGTTGATCGAATTGGTTGACCGAAGGGGTGAACCGAAGCCAAGCCAACGGCCAGCATATGGCTATGACACTCTGGAAATTTGCTTTTCTAAGGTGACCAAGGCAAGTCCAAGTGGACCAAGTACACTGGGTACTTAGACTAGTATTGGCTGATTGTAGAGAGACTGACCTGTAGAGGCGACACTAACAGAGTATATACAGTATGTATGGTTGGGCTTACCTAAGCCCCTTCCGGAATGTAAAGTCAGTCGCGTCTTGACCCCTACCTTGCTTAAAATTACGACTCCTGCACCCCTTCGCTACTCTGCCATGTCGTTTCATCATGACGCCCATTCCACAGCGATCGATTTCTTGACTCTTTCTATAGGATACCCCACGTAGTACCATAGCCTACACCTGCTGGGTAGCCCTTTCCAGGCCGGAGTTCTCTGCTTTCACACCATGGTCCTCTCTTTCGCTCTACCCAGAAGGGCCATCCCTCCTCTCCTGCTTCTCCTCTCACTCTCCGGATGGCTCGTGGCGGTGTATCAGCACTTTCGACCTCCCCTCTTATCCTCTTTGTCTCTTCCAAACCCATCATACCTCCTCTCGCTAGCTGCAAACTCGTCCTACCTCTCCTGGGCTACCCCCATCTCCATCCGAGATTCAATCACCGATTACGTTCAATCGATGCCTTCTCTCCGACCTTGGGACGCTCGGGGTGGACCAGAGTATGATATGCTGGGTCAGGACGAGAGATGTACTTTTGACTGGCCTTCTACCAAACATATGTTCGTTTTGTGAGTTTTCATCTGAGCCTCAAGCTTTGACTCATGAGCAACAGCGGGGATTCCTTTTGTCAGTGATTCATGTTATTCCACCTACTTACCACCTCATGTCCATTCCAACCAATTTGCCATCTTACCTACTCTCATGCTGAACCCCCCAGCTGCTACTTAGTAGGTTTCTTACTCAACACCACAACACGCCCCTCACCGACATATACTCCGTCCGCTGACATAGAGCAACTCCCCCTACAAGGACAACGGCATAGGCGATGGACATCCTAGGAAATGGGTCAGCTCTTCTCATCTTCTCCGAACGTTGTTAACAGGAAGCATTACCGAGAATGGCTCCATACCAACCGCTGGCCTGACTTTCTTTATTCGTGGGTGATCATGCTTCCCGTATAGCATTGAAGTCATCAGAGAATGATAATAGACCGCTAACTCGTAGAGTGTTTCAGCAGTGGAAAAGTCGGTCTGATCACTGCCATCGTCAATCTACTGACAGGGAGATATCGAATACTGGCCATTCTGTTTTCCCGGAGCGACCATCTCGTCCAACGTGTCCGTCTCACTCTTCTCATTTTGAATGTACCAGAGCTGATCTGTAGTCTTCCACCCGGTGTAGAGAAATGGGGGTATGCACCACTCAGGGAGTAAAGACGAAATGGGCGCTGAGACCCAGATCATTTGATACCCAAGTCGAAGAGTTCCGAGAGTTGTTCACACCTATGCCAGGTCCGGCAGTAGCGGATTGGCACTCTGATGATTCGCTTTTCCTTGCCATGTTTGGTATCAATGATCTGGTGGGTCTCATCACTTCCTCTCTTTCATCATTCAAGACTTATTCTTATACTTCGCGGTCACTTAGACCTCACCCCACCTGTACGACATTGCTGACCTTAGCAACAAATGGACGTGAGCTCCTCACTCTCGTCTCGTCGATCTGACACACCCTTGTCCCACACACGATAACCATATTCCACCTTAGTCTACAGATGAGACGAGAAAGCCATCATCAACTTGGGTGCTATCAGTGACATTTCATATTCACTAATGGAAGCGTCATGGTATCGGCCGACTCAATCTCCGCGAGACATGCGAGAAACTCATTGACGCGTACATGAACAACCTTCGCACTCTACGATCCCTTGGAGCTAAACATTTCCTCATACTCAATCTCCCACCTCAACATCGAGCCCCGAAATTCCTCCTCCCTCACGGCGTTGGGAGAGATGTTGAATACAGGATACGAGAAGTTGTACCGCTTTTCAACTCTCTCCTCTCCGGCGCGTTGGAAAATTTCAGGATGGAAACGAGACTACAATCAGGTGGAGAGGTCATGTTGTTCGACCTGAACAAACTGATCAATATGGTATTGGACAATCCTGAAGTGTTTGGTCTGACGGATACGGTCAGGTTTGAAGTGAAGATAGGAAATGAGACCGTAGAACCCGGTCGAATGGCATTTGCGTGAGTGATCAACGGAACAGAAAACGGACATCGTGGGGCTTATACGTAGATGGTTAGACAACCAACATCCCAGTTGGACAGTGTCGAGTTTGATTGCAAGAGGTGTACATGGGTTCTTAATGCGACATTCGAGATCATTGAGATATGGAAATATGATGGAGAACGGTTTGCTCGCATGAGGCACGGTCAGAGGATTGCCTTTAGTCAAATGGACCAGGATAATCTTGGACATGCATTTTTCGTATGGGATATGATTCACTTTTGCACTTAACACCCCAGAAGATCGCTTCGTGACCTTTGCTAATGGTGGAACTGACATCAGTATCATCTCCTCAATCGACGTAGTTGCCAAACAGACGTGACAACAAGACGTGAGTGTAACTCACCAATCTCAAATTCGTATGACAGAAAACTATACTCGCTTCATCGGCCGCTTCAATACAGGCAGAATCCATGATACTACCACTAGGGGCAGCGAGATATTTCACACCACTTCTCCTGACCCTATGAACATTATCGGGGAAAGGGAAGAAAGCATCACTTGAACAAGCCACTCCAGTCAATTTGGCCATGTGCTCTTTTCTTTCTTCCACACTCAGAGGTTCGGGGACAATTTCGAATAAAGATTCCCATTGTTGTCTTTCTGATCCTTCACCAACTTGATCAGTGACGAACAAGTCAATAGCGTTGGCTTTATCTGCTCTCTTGGTTTTTTGCTTGAACGGGAGAGAGAGAACTCGAGAATGATGTCGCATCCACCAATTATCCGCTTTGTCACCTGCCAGGCGGGTGCAGTGTATACGCGATTGCTGACCGGCGCCGAGACCGATGACGGTACCGTTGAGAGCGTAACAGACGGAGTTGGATTGGGTGTATTTGAGAGCGAGTGTGGCGACGATGAGATCGGTGATGGCTGATTCGGGTAGCTGAAGGTCAGTACGGATCTCAAGACGACACATGTTCTCAGCGCTGGCCTCCCCCGGGGACTTGTTATAATGGCGTAATTTAAGTCGAGTCAAGTGGAGGAATGCGAAGGGAAAGAAGAAGGTCGTTGCGATTCACCTCGGTTTCTTTCGTCACGACATTATTGAACAAAGAAGCGTTGATGTTAAAGTCGTTTCTCTTTTGCTGCAACGAGATTCCATACACCTGACGAGTTTCAATTGCCGGTGGTTCGTACGTAGGATCCATCTGTCCATCAGGTCAATCTCCCAACGTAAGGTCAGACCCGTTCATATTATCAATAAAAGTTTGGGCGAAGCAATACTCACCTGAAGCACACAGTACTTCCCACCTTTCTTCTTTTTCAGAATCTCCAAAGCAGCTTCCTCATATCCCGGCGCAATGACTCCGTCCGAGACTTCCCTCGAGATAATTTTAGCAGTGTCCACATCTACCGTGCTTGACAACGCGATGAAATCACCGAAAGAAGACATACGGTCCGCTCCTCTAGCACGAGCGTAGGCGCAAGCCAGCGGGGACAGATTGGGCATATCATCCACTCCGAATACTTTCGCAGACGTGGGATCGAGAGGGAGACCGACGGCGACACCAGCTGGGGAGACGTGTTTGAAGGAAGCGGCTGCGGGGAGGTTCAAAGCTTGGGAGAGTTCTTTGACCAGAGCCCAGGAGTTTAGTGCGTCGAGGAGGTTGATGTAACCTGGTGAACCGGATAGGACTGGGGATGTTAGCTTAGTCTTTGCACGTCGAGTCGCCGCCACAGTGCGACAAAGGCGGGAAGCGAGGATCATGTGTAGTCAATGGTTGGAAGAGAATAGGCACTAAAAGAGATTAGGCACAAGGAAGACATACTGGTGATTGGCATCTCGCCTTGTTCCACGAACGCCTGTGCAGGTTTCTGATGAGGATTCGCACCATATCTCAGAGCCATCCTCTGAGTTTGAACACCAGCACCCGCTCTCATCTCATCCGAAGTGTCCACACTCGAGTACATCTTCCGAAAGTAATCACTGATTGCTTCATCGTAACTTTTCGTACTCTCAAACGCCTTGAGTGCCAGACCACGTTTCGTAGCGTCTGAAACACTCCCACTGGCCTTCCATTCGTCCAGTATCACTTCATAGTCGGAAGGGGAAGAGACGATGGAGACTCTGGCGTGGTTTTTAGCAGCCGCACGAAGAAGGGTCACACCTCCAATGTCGATCTCTTCTATGGCATCGGCGAGGCTACAATCAGGTTTGGAGGTCTGAAGAACGAAAGGGTACAGATTACACACCACGAGGGTGATAGGGGAGATATGATTCGTTGCCAAGTCTGCGAGGTCGGAGGGGATGTCGCGGGAGAGGATACCGCCGTGGACAGCTGGATGAAGAGTTTTCACTCGGCCACCTAACATCTCCGGTGCGTTGGTGATGCTCGATACGTCGCTACACATAGTCAGCTACGTGACAGGAACAGGGTGAGAAGAGACAAGACTGACTCGATCTCGATACCAGCTTGACGGATCATCTTGGCCGTCCCACCACTTCCCAGAAGACGAAACCCCAACGATTTGAGCCCTTGGGCGAACGGCAAGAGACCGGTCTTGTCATAAACAGAGAGCAATGCTGCACGTAAGGGTAGAAAGTCATACAAAAGGGGGTTGACTCACCAATTGGAGCGTGGGACATGATGCGCAAGAAGAGGACGAACGAGAAAGACGTGGAGGAGAAGAACGCGCGAAAATTTGGGAGAGAAGATCGAGAAGCATCATCATTCCGCAACCTGCCTACATACGAACGAGACTTCAAGCTGAAAGAGACAAGATAATGCGCCAGACGGTCCAACGAAAGTTGATACGTGCATGAGCGATGCATAAGACCGGTCAAGTACTCAGATGAACGCGGCGTCCTCGTCTTTGTAGTCACCCTCGGGAACGCAGACGGAACGCAGTGATCTCATTCAGTCCCCCACCTCAGAAAATGACCCAATGCAGCATGAGTGCCAGATTGACAAGCACAGTTCTTGCATTGAGAACACTCACAGACACACAACACTTCACAAGAAAGGCGACAAGTGGTGCATATATTGCCCAGTATATAACTGGATCCAGGCTGTGGAGGGAGGCACTGGGCACTCCAATGTAACAAAACTTTTGCATACTGGCAGTGGTTTGCCCACACCAGACCATCACACAAAATTGGGCGGCCACAAACACCGACTTTCAGGGGCCCAGTGCTGGTCCCTTCCTACTGGCAAATGTGGGCAGCTATCTGACATAACCAATACCAAGGAATGTGCCTACATGGCATGCACCAACGCCCTTGTGGCACAGTGGTCCAGTGTGTCCGCATTTGTATGGTCGCGTGAAAGGTGGCCAGAAATGGGGGGCACAAATAAACGAGACCGAATTTGTATAGTCGCGTCATTGTGATCGTACCCCCACGCGCCACGAGTGCTCTGTAGATATTACCGAGAAACTCCGGGGAACCCAGGGGAACAAACGTGGCATGCACATGGCACTTGCTCACTGGACCCGATCTGTTGATGACCACCTCCTGATTCCTCCTCCCTCATTCCTCCTTCCTCCTTCCTCATTCCTCCTTCCTCAATCCACCTTCCTCATTCCTTGTTTCACAACCCCTCCAAGCAACTTCACCCACCACACTGCCAGTCCCGCATCATGTCTTCCGACAACGAGGAAGAACTTCTCAAAGAGCTCCAAGCTATCCAGGACAACTCAATCGTGGTCGATCCCACCGCATATTTGGCAGTCCCCACACTGCGACGCTACCAAGATGTTTGGAAGCTCTTTGACCAATGGCTCGGGACCCTTGTGGAGTCCGGCTCCAACGACCTACTTCCTGGCTCACCCACCACCGCAAGCGAACTTCTCAATCCTTCCGCCCCTCACATGCCTTCCAGAGCCTTCGCCTCCTTCCTTGAGTGGTGGGCATCTTACGCCTCTGCCGCTTTCTACGAACTCCCGCTAGTCAACACTGCCGTCACAATTATCGGGCGTCTCTTCCGCTATCTCGACCTCCACAGGCAGGACAAGCTTCCACGATTCACCAGGCTTTCAGTGTTCAGGCATATTCGGGGTGATATGGTCAAAGACAAGTTTCTCTCGCCCCAGGAGCGACACCGCTCCTTTACATCTCAAGGCGGAATGAAACAGCTAGCCCAAGCATTCTTCTCTCCCAACGCGCAACATTCCTTACGAGCCAGATGGCAAGGTCTGTTTGTCATATCCGTGCTCCGCCTGACAGCACTTCGACCAGGATCCCTCTTACCCGGCGACCAACAGCCTATCGATACCCCGGGCATGAGGTACCAAGACTTTTTGCTATGCATCACACCAGCAGATGACCCTGACTCGCCTCCCACTCTCGCCCTCCGCCTCACCACCCTTCGCGGCAAAATAGACGCCTCCCGTGACAAGGAACATGTCTTGCTCGCGGAAAGCGAATTGTGGTCCTGCCCCGTCCATTGGCTCCTAGTCCTGGCCACTTTGGACGACGCCCTCCCCTGTCCCCTGGACCTTCTGCTTCACTCCCGCAACTTTCCCTGTCCACGAGTCTTGCAATTTGGACGTGGCAACCTCGCGATATGTCGAAGTACACGCCAATCCGCTCGGTCATCTTGGACCGTTGGCTCGCTTCACAAGGTCATGACACGCACCTCCTTGGTTGCCGGCTTTCCCTACGCCATCACACCATACGCATTACGCCGGTCAATGGCCGTACACATGTTTGCATCTGGTGGGTACATCTTCACCTCGCAGTCGCACCGCTGACTCTCCCAGGTGTGCCTCTGGCACAAATTTCAAAAAGGCTGGGCCAAACATTATGTCAGGAAGTGCTACGGCGTTACATTGGGGAATTCCCGTGAGTCACTTGAGCCATTTCGTCCCCACCGGCCTCACACCACCACCATTCCTCCACGGACACTGCTACCTCCCCACCAGGCTAAATGCAAGTGGCTGATCGTGGCAGGGCCACCGATATCACGGCTCATGTTCATGAGGCAGCTGATTCAGACGCCACGATAGCCATGGAACATTTGCTTCTCCACCCAAACATGCTGTCACCCGCGGCTCGAGCCCCAATCTCCCTATCCCCCGAGGGAATAGAGGCGATCCATGACGATGCTGAGTGTGAGTCGCATCTCCCATTCACCCCTATCCAGCTCATTACAACCGCTCTCTGCCGCCCACCCGCGTCCACTGTGACAAAGTCACACTCCCGTGCAAGGCGATTCGGACATCCAACATTAGCACAGCATCCCAAGGGAGCCGGTGGCTGACAGTCAGACGTTGAGGAGCTCGAGAGACACAGATCTTTGCGACAGGATCTCCTTCAGGGAAGTGCCTACAAACAAGCCATTCCTGAGGTGCAAGCACAGATAAAAACTAGCTGGTCTCGACTTCACGTGGTGTGGGGTCGAAAAAGCAGAGAAATCTTAAGGCAGGAGCGCTACAACTGGTTCCAAGCCCACGATCAAGAACGGCTTGTGATGCTATCCCAAGCCCCGGACCACCTACAAGACGAAGCTGCCTTGGACCAAATGCCAGACGTTATGTCAAGCACTGCGGACATTGTGGAATACGACTCGGAAGCGTTCGAATACGTTCTCCGCACCCATCGCCTACAATACGCCTCTGATTTCGCCAGTCTCGCTCAAGCAAGCTGCCAAGAAGAAACAGAGCTAGACGCGGATGACATAGACGCCATAGATGACGCAGAGTACCCCCTGGCTCCCACCCCTGCCCACGCTAGCGAACAGCTTCACCCACCTTCAACTTCCGCACAAGCCGATTCAGACAAAGCACTTGAACCGGACACCAGCAACGATCTCTATAGTTTGTCCCAACTCGCAAGTCTTGTCTTCACCGCAGCTCCCTCTCTAGCCACCTCCATCAAAGCCTTCGCCGCCCAGACCGACCTAACACCTGCTCGCCCCATAACAACGCTCACACACGGGTTCCGGCCAGGTCATCTCCCCGGGCCTGATGGCCTGTGTCCCAGTTGCGGGGCAAACGTATCAGACACGCCAATTCTCTCCCGCATCAGGCACGTCCACACATGCACCGCCAAGTCTCAAATGAGCCTCGCTCTTCCTGCCTTGCTATCCAAATACCCCTCCAGGCTAAGCAAAAGCCCCCTCAAGTTTTCCACAAAGTCTGTGAACGCTAAACTGGCGAAACCCACACAAGGGGTATCCCTGCATGAACTGTCCGATGCGGTCAAACGTCAAGCCATCAAGCCTAACGCCACCATCTCCTGCGATTTTCCAGAATGCAACTCCTGTCAGCTCACCACTCTCTCCACCACCCGAGACCATCTGCTAACACACTCGATATGGCTCCCCACAATTTCGACCAGGGCAAAATGGAAGCAAGACTTAGCGTCTTACAATGCTGGTACCTGGGATATCGACACCGCCAGATTCCCCGAGCTGGCCCCATACTCAATTGAAGCGTCGCAGTACTTCCCCGACCCTCAGTCGCATTTTGAATACTGCTCTCATCTTTACTCCAAGACCTTTCTGCCCACCACAGCACAGCCCTATGGCGTCAGGACTGATATAGGTGTCCCGGATGCTGTCAAGTCCCTCGAGATCGCACCGTCGCACTGTGCGGATGAAAAGTATCGCCAGATCCACGAGACCGGCAAGAAAATCGTCAAGGTCGGCTACTGTCTTCTTTGCGTACACAACATATGTGACCCTTTCGCGGATCGAATGACTGAATTTGCTGGCGATTTCCGCCACACCAGTGTGCATTTTGCCTCCTGCGTATTGTCGATATGGGACGCCTACGCTGCTCTGGAAGAAGAAGACGGCCTCAACAAAGACGATTGCTCCGACGATGATACCAGCTCAACAGACGGAAGCGCTGGGCGTTACCCATTGACGCTGTCCTTCTGCATGGTTCAGAACCGCTTAGCCTGCCCCGATACGACATGCAGAAGGTTCGGCGTTTCTCACAACAATATGCTCGACTTCATTCACCACATGGCGGCGGTACATTACATGGGACTGCAAAGACCTATCGATGGTGTCACACATCGGGCATGCGATTTCTATGACCTGGCTGGGAGAGATCCTCAGCACCTTTGCGAGATCTTAAGTGCCAGACTACGATCGTCGTCTTGGAAGGACGACTGTAGGATCGGTCGCATGTACGGCAAAGCCCTGGCACAGGAGCCACCGGCCGAAGAGTGTGAGGATGCTCCGACCACTGAGAAAGCTTCTGGGAAACGCAAGGCCGGCAAGTCAAAAGCGAAAACGTCCAAGCGAGCTCGTGCGAGCAGGTCGAAAAGGTCTTCGGCTAAAAGCAAAAAGACCATTGATGAGGAGGAAGAAGAGGAGGAAGAAGAAGAGGAGGAGAAAGAGCATGAGGCTGCTGATGCAGATCAAGAAGGTACAGAAGATGCGGGAGAAGGTGGTGAGAGAGACGCGGCAGATGTGCAGTTGAGAGTGAGAAGGAGAGGCCAGAACACAGGGAGAGCGAGCGAGAGTATAAGCATTAGTCAGACTGGTTGCTCGAAGGACGCGTAAGTTGGGTTTATTTTCGGGGCGAAGGGACAAGCATCACCATCATGTAACACAATCCATTCACATGTCATCATGCATCGAGTCTATGTATTGACCATGTCACCTCTCTTGCAGCAAAGTCATTCGGGGAAGATCCCGGTGATCAACTCTTCTCTATGGGTCTTCCCACTCGTTCTCAAAGCCGTCAAACGTCTGCACCTCATCATCACACATGCCAGTTTGAGCAGACTTCAAACACGTGGATTCATACCGTGACAGATCATTGTATCTTCTCACTGCCCTCGTCAGGCCATTTTCAGACTGTCGGAGGAAAGTGAGCCTACCAAACTGTCCAGGAACAGATCTAGTGTTGGCAGGAAGTCCGATGAGCATAACGATCGTTCCGTAAAAGAGTAGCTCGAACAGACCCGCAGGCAAGACACAAGCACAACCATAGGGAGATCAATCCCACTCACATGTCATCATGCTCCAAGCCCTCATCCGTCTGAAATGTGTCAGTGAAACTGTACTCCGACTTTTTTCGATATTATTGACATCAAAAAGCGACAGGTCATCTCTCGCGGAGAGAAATACTCTCGGAAAATAGGCTTGCAAAAATACCACGTCTCCGCACTTACTTTTCGTGATGTTCACTGGGTCAAACTCACAAACACACACATATTCGTCCACTACTCACTCGTCACAGTCCGTATGAGTTCTGACAGGTCTCAACGGTCTCATCAAATGCAACTGTGGGTGTGCTGATCATTATCTCGTTTGCTTCCCCCACAGTCCTGACGTCTCCCATGATCTCTCCATTGACCTCACCGTATACCCTGTCTGGTCGAATGCCCCTCATCGGCAGTGTCTTCCACCCACTTGAAAAGCCACAAAACTCTTGATCACCGTCAGGAGGAACAGTCCGATATCAACGTTTTGACACCTGGCTGACATTGGCAGCGGTCAAAGTCTGCGGCAAGATGGTCCCAGAGAGCGATCCAGTCACGAGCACTCGGCAAAGATGTCTTGTCGACGGAACTTCCATCACCCTCCTCCATGCGACAACTGCTTGCGAGCCTTCATGTCAGACGTCCCATTTCAAGAGACGGATGTGGGCTCTTCATTACGCCGCCATTGACACCCACCCAGACACGGTATCACCGTCGGTGAGTGACCTTCGTGTGCCCCTACTTCAGTGACGCTTTTTTGTCCGCTGACTCCCCTGCATACTCAGTCCCCATCAACAACATCGTCCCGTGTCCTTCTTTCTGATCTCTTTGAAGTCACAATTCTCGCTAAAGTATCATCAGGCTGACGGTCATGTTGACGACTGCCGTTGGCAGTATCATATGTTCACCTGGTTGTAAAGATGTATCACTCACTCTCCGCGTGGTCATACGTGACTCTTGGATTGAACTAAGCCTGATTGACATGACTTGCTTCAGGTGCACAGAACCCCTCGTGAAGGCCATTGACGTGTTCGACTGGCAATGTCATAGGTGTATCCACTGGCTTTACTACTGGCTCACCATGGCGCAATGGTGCACGGACCCCCGGTGACTAGACCAATTCTCTTCCCCATCCAATCTCACCCCAACAAAACTTCCTCAACAACCTCTCACCTCCCAAGAAGCCTTGATACATCTTCTCCTCTCCTCTCCCTCATTCTCTCGCTGAGCAACTCCAGTGTTATCACCCCACTCAGCGTGCGTTTTCTCCCATTGAAACAAAATATATTCATTCGAGCTGACACTTCTATCCTTGCCACCTTGCTCGACATTCTCCTTGACTGAACATCTCCCCTTTGTCGGTGAGTTCCTCTATGTTCCCAATACCTTCATCGCTCGCTTCTCCTCAACCACGCATTCGTTGCATCCGGAGACGTCTTGTTGAGGAGTGTCCTCCAACCTGATCGATGTGACAATGGTCCCCAGCTGATCTACATTCAGACATCTGCCTCTACGGTCATCCCCTCGGCCAAGGATCTGACTGGGACAACGTTTCCCCCCATGAACCACTCTTCCACCATCAAACTGTTACACACGCCACCCGCCACCCGCCCACCGCCTCCGCCGGTGCTTTCTAATGATTGCTCCTTTACCACATCACTCCGTCCTGTCGTACCCGCGCTTATCCTTCTATCCTGGGCCCTGCGTTGTCGTTTCAATACCCACGCCCTTGTCAACTCGATATCCCTCCCTTGTTCACTTCCACCACGACCACATTCAATCATTACCTCCTATCTTATCTATACCGGATCAATGACTTTATGAACTGGCACATGTCTCTTCGGCGAGCTTACATCCGTGAACCTGCCCTGTCCCCCGTATCATGCCACGACCTCTGGGCTTCTAAACGTGTTGGCTTCCATTGTGTCCGGATTTTGTGACATGCAAATCTCCCTGTGTCCTTTTCCTTACCCCACTGAAGAACCCTTAACACCTGCTTCTGACCAAGACATCCAATCCTCACTAAACTATAGTCGTATTGTTGTTCCTCACCGCTCACACATATTCTGATTTCTCACCAATCTCACGGAGTAGTCTCAGATCTCAGACTCGCAAGATGCGTCCCCCTCCTCGACCTTTCCGCTCAAGCGATCCCTCAAAGACCAAGAACCCTGCCGCCTTGCAAGCTTCGATGCAGACTCTGCAAGGGAATCGAAAGGTCGGCGGTGTATACGACAGTCGATTGCCAACGTCGCACTTGACCGCTCGGAGGATGTTCGACCGAGTTGCTACACTGATGACAGGCATCTCCATCGGCGACCGCAAATACTCTACATTCCAGCAAGCTACCCAGCCCGATGTGCCACACTGGCCAGTTAGTGTTTTCTCGGCAATATTCACATATTTCAGCAAGAAGAAGATGTCCGCCCCCAAGACAAAGCTTCACGCATGTAAATTACTTAACAAGCCCATACCACACGGCAAGAGAGTCAAGGCTCGGACGGTTTTGCACCGGTTTTATTCCCTGTGCGCCACATACGATCGAGCTCGAGGTGAACCGATGGACCCCGGCATTCGTCGCAGTGCGGAGTTGGCGGTGAAGAGCATCATTGCTTCTGCTAATCTGGATCGCACGTCGTCTGTCCGAGCAGCTATCACCCCGATCACCATGCAGTCTCTGGTGGAAGAGAGCTGCAAACTGGAAATTTGCACTGATGACCTTCTCCAGCTCCTGCTCTATACTGCCATAGCAACATCGACAGGAGTGCGACCATCTTCCGTACTGCGATCCTGCTCAAAGAAGGTAGGTGACCAAAGCCCCCAACGACTGGGATGCCGCTGGAAGGATTTCCGTATCTGGCTCCTGAAAGGAGAAACACGCAACACCGTGATGGCATGGTACAAAGTGCCACACGGCAAGACAATAAACTCCGCGAGACTTTTTTTCCCCCTGCGCGAAACAATCAACATTGCTTTCTCTGCTCCATGGCTGCTGCTATTACTTCTCGATCGGCGTGGTTTGCTGCAAGAATATCAGCTAGATGACCTACTGGACCCTCGGGTGCTGAATGGCAAACCTTCTAAAGAGATTTGCTTAGATCCTTCAAGGTGGGTACAACTCATCCGACACGAGCCAACTGACTGATAACAGGTCCAGCGAATTCGTATTTCTCGACCGCCAGGGGGGAAGCCGTACTGCCTTCTGGATCAACAAACAGCTAAAGCAAGTCTCCGTTCAGGCTGGATTCCGCAAGCCTCTGACTACTTATGCTTTCAGGCACATGGTGGCTTATGAGCTATTCAAAAAGGGTGGGTCCAGCAGTTCTTTGTCCCCATGACCCCTCACACACATTTACAACCTGATTTACATTACGTTTCCCACCGCCTCTGTAGACCAATCCCGTCCGTGTATCCTATCTGGGCCGCAGGTGGTCGGGTCTGATGCCGATTTGCAAAGCCAGATTTGCGCCTCTCCACCTAAAGACAAACAGGAAACTTGTCAATGCATCGAGGGTCTGCCCCACCGTTGAGAGCTCCCTTGTCATAGGATTCCAACACACTCCAGTCAACGTGGTGCTGACACCACAGTTGATGAGCGGATCCTTCAGCTGGTGCTTGGTCACAACTTTGGCTCTGGCGCGACATTCACCTATCTCGGTCGCTGCCGGTGGGCGTCACGCTGCCTTTTCGCTTGTCGCCATTCATACTGACCCGCAGGAACGTTGACGACGCGAGACATCTGACCGGCAACGAAGACCGCTCCTCCATGATGGAGGCGGTTCAACGGACTTCGGCGCTCCCAGACTCGCACGCCCCACAAGAGCTTACGCCTACACAGTTGGAAAGCTTGAAAAGCGATACGGAATGTGGGTGTTTGCGTTCACAAGTAGCCGCTAATCAGCAGTGACCAGATTGCGGGACGAACAGCGCTCATTAGAAGCAGAGATATTTGAAAACCACGGGGATTTGGCGTCGGCACCGAAAGATTTACGTCAACGGCACCTATTCCTAGGCTTCTCTTACCTTCAATGGCACCACAGACTGCAGGAAACGATGCTTGATCTCGTGCGCGAGGACTATTTTGCCGGCAAAGAGATATGGGGCGAAGAGGATGCACTCAACGCTCTCAGCGGAGACACCATTTGCATCAGGGACATTGAATCCGTACGTACATCACCCATTCTTACCGTGTCCTGGTTTGATTCCCTGGACCCAAGCCGCACACAAGGGGCCGCTGACTTCCTCAGGCGACCGGCAGATGGGCAGTTCAGGAGCAGGCAAACAGTGACCCGAGCGAAGAGGAGTCCGCGAACGTGGGCCCTTCGGCCAAGTTAGGCGGTGGTCAGTGCGAGAACTCGGCCTCGTTGCTCGCGACCGCCCTTAAGAGCAAACCGGAAAATTTTGCCCGCGTCAAGAAGCTTTTCGCTGATGTAGAGGCAGAGCGTAGGGGTCGGGCAGATGGTAGCAAGGGCAAGGCAGAAAAGAGAAAACGGCGCAGCCACCATTCCACCAAGCTGGCGAAAGGAAAGAGTCGGCAAGATGATTGCGACAGCGATGAAACACGGGCGGGGACGGACGAAGAAGGGGCGACTGAGAATGATGATGTCTGGGATGAGGAGGAGGACGCATTGGCCATGGATGTCTCTAGCGGAGAGGAGGACGAAGAAGCGGAGGAGCTAGAGGAATGACTGCTGGGACCATATTCTTCGTGTGAGTCATCTGTGCAATTCTTTCTGCCAACAGCTGAAAGGTCAGACCGCATAACAACTTTTCTGTCGAATGCAGTTTCATCATTATGCTATCGTACACTCCTGGTCTACAGACTGGTGCCATACCGCTCACCAACACCGATGGTCACTCCGTATGCACAATCAAGCTGGCAGCGAACGATCCATTCGAAAGGGAGCTCATGATCTTGCACGTGAGTTCAATCTCCTCTGTTAGTTTATTCATGATACCAGAGCTTATTTGAAAATAGCGCAGTGGTGTAGTGGTATTATATCAGGCTCTCCACGCAAGAACCACGTGTCATGGAGAAGATACACCACTTTAAGTCGATGATCTCCGTTGCTGAATGTCGGACCAAATGACTACGGATGAGTTAACAACCACTTCAAGGTTGGTGACTGGATCAAAACTGTGAGTTGATTTGATCTCACTTCATCAAGCTAGGTACCCTTGACAGTTTGTTCCACCCATTCTTCCTCTGCTTCATTTTCGAGATCATCATCTCACCAACATCGTGATACACACCTTTTCCATCAAGGCAATGATAACGCCACACTATTTGTTATGTCAACATTGCTGACATTCACCTTGGTCCGGCTGGTGGGTTTCACCGAACCGGCAGGTAGGTGAGACCAGGAATATCAAACCGTAATTCTGTTCATGTCCAATCACCGACTGTATCTTTGCTACGAGTCAAATGAGCGCCTATCACCTCACCACTCAGCTTCACCACATGCCTGTATCACCACCAAGACACAAAGATCCCTCCATTGGTCTGCCTCAATCCGCCGTCCATGTGCCACAACCGAAGTAACTCCGTATTTCCTCGCGTCGAAACCCTGAGAATTTCCACAGACATCTCTTTCCCCCTCACCAATCGATTCACCGCCTTTTTAACGTGAGTTCCATCGTTTATCCAACACTGCCTTGTCCATCCTTCCCCACTCATAAGCCTCAAGGGCATACCTGTACTGGTATTGCACTGAGGAGCGTTTGCAAGGGCGGGGACCTACATTCCCCGACCAGCATTCACTGCCAATCTCATTCCACGTTTTCTCCATCGCTTCATGGGCACGCCTTTATTGCGCGTTGCCCAGTAGTGTCGTTGGCAAGGGCGAGAGTTTACATCTCTCGCACTGTCACTCTTTGATGAGAACGGACGTCTACCTACCTCAAATGGCTTGTCTTTACTTGACATAGCCAAGGGGTGTGTGTCTGATTGGCCGGGGATTATTCCCTTGGACGACTGCACACGGTGGGAATGACGACCGATGCGTGGTGGCCGTCGCGATGACGATCTGTTGGGTCGAGGGTTCCTTATTCGTCTGATGATACATGAGTGCTGACATGAGGTCATCGCGTGAAAACCGAGACAATGTCTGATGGATACAGTAAACCAAATCTACCGAGTGTTTGTGCGAGGTGAGAAGGGATTTTCATTGTAAGTTGCTGTCTACTGTCTCTTTGGCTCGTCTCCACTTGCCCGGACGTTGCTTTTTCTGGGTGCTGTTGTCATTATTCGAATGGAAAGGGTGGTACCATTCCTCTCCGTTGTCTTGTCGTGTCCCAGTGGTTAAATGTTCGTCGTTCTGGGGGCGGCCGTGCCTCATATTCCCCCCACGCCGTGAACTACATCCCCCCACACTCTGTTCTACCCTGTTTCTTGACCTGTAATGAGGACTCCTCAGGTAAAACGTACTGTCCAGAGGACGGCACATGGATGATTGATGGTCGGTCGTGCACCGGAGGAAAACACGACCTGTGGGATGCAACAGAGGGAGGAGGGAGAAGCGAAAGGGTTATCCTCGGGGGACATGGGTCAAAATCACAAAGGGTCGGCAGCAGACGTACACGCCATTGTCAATCACTAAGACGTTTCTGCAGATGGGCTCATCGTGCTTATTTCTGTCACCCTCTCATCCTTCATTCGCTGACATCAGTCACAATCATGTACACAAAAATCTCAGGGGGAGACAGATCGACTACGAGTTGGACGGCGGCATTATAGGCGTTGCGGGATCGACCCATGTCCTATAATCAGTGAGTTGATACCTTCAATTCCCCTTCCGTCACGAATATGCCTACCTATGTTCTGGCGCCCTTACCTCCATTTACAAATCCCTGTGACATGTAGCAACTAACAGCCAGTACGAGAGCATTCGCTGGTCCTGTTCCTTCTAGCACACCTATTGTTTCACACCGTGTAATCTGCCAGAAGTGACTTCGATGTTGTCATCATTCATGGATGTTTGGTGTTCAGCCGGGGCCCCTTTCATACTGTCTTCACAAGTGTGCACATCCGTCGTGTGGTTGAGGTGGAGGTATGGACTTTCTGAGAGGCACCGTTAACGAGCTGTGCTACTTGAATTGTGAGTTGAGTTTGCTACTGCCTCAATCTCACACCTTTCCTACTTCTCAAATCTTGACGCCGCTCTTGAGATCCCGGTCAATCTGTTTTGCACCATATCGCTCTCGCTCGTAATGTCGAGGACCATTGGACTATCGCTTCTGGCTCTCACCACTGATCGCTGACCCACAGCGTCGTCCAGTGTTGACATTACATCCTCTTCGCCTGCAACCAACTCGCAAATGGTCACAGACCCCCGCGGGCCAGCGGGACGAACTCGAAGGCTCCGCGAGCTTGTCGTGACCAGTGAAGTTTGATTGATACCAATTGGACAAAGGGTCCAGCGCGAAGTTTTTTGAGCGGTGATATGGTCTTTATGTGGTGCCGATGTAGGTCTCACCGTTGCCTTTGAAACTTAACCCACCGTCGTCGTTCTCTCACACACCCATGGTTTGGCATGTTGACCGCGTGAGGAAACAAGGTGTCTTGGTTGTGTATCAATGGGTAATAAACCGTCTTGGCTCTTGTACGAAGTTTTTATGCGAGTCAAAAAGTATTATTCGCTTGTCTCTAATTCAGCAAACGGCAGTCCGTCGTTGCAACAGATTATTGTAGCGGATGGAGTAGATCCAAGTCTAAAAAGTACTGTCAAACCCCAGCGGTGGGTCGAACACCGGACCTTTCCGTTTGCACGGCGCCCATTGGGACCCTAGAAGCGGAGCGCGCATACCACTGCGCCACAAGGGCGGATGGTCAAAATTGTCAAGGACTGTTCTATTAAGATGCACCAAGACCTACCAGCAGCAGCTGGCTGTCGTAATCGCCTTTTCTCCTGTTGCTTGCTTTCTTCTCCCCCACTCGTTGTTCTCAAAGAAGATACCCACCTCTCCCCCTTGATCGTGCGCCAACACGTGGTCTGGTCACATCAACAGCATCTCTTTGGACTCCTAGATAAGGACCGAACCACGAGCCACCTCTCAACCCAATGACCCGTGTGAAACCCAGTCGAATATTGTGGAGATCGTCAACCATTAGGAGAGGATGACGACCGATATCCGACCTGTGCTCCTCACAGTGAATCTCCCGACATGATGCCCTTCCAACCATCCAGACAAATAGCATGATCGCCTCTGCTGTACGTACAAAACGACCCGTATGAAACGATCAGTTATGTCAGGGATCCAACCTCAAAATCCTTGACCCAGGACAAATCCCTCGGTGTCTTGCCGATCGAGAAGTCGCTCGTCCGTTGGATGGCTTGGGGTGGGAAACTGCCGCATATGGTACGAACACGCAGTCACTCGTATGTTTAATGGGGTGGGGTGGGAAACTGCTCCATATGGCAGATCACACAGTCACTCGTACGCTGGATGGGGTGGGGTGGGAAAATGCGGCATGCGGTGGATCTGGGACAATTCGTGGAACCTGCTGCTGGCGGACCAAGCAAGTCACTCCGACGATGGATGTTTGGCGTGGGAATGATCCTTACCCTCATGGCAAAGTGGCGCCTCTGAACGTTTTGGGGAATCTCTGTTCCGCTTTCTTGCCGTTGGGGAGGAAGACTTCTGGGATATCTCCAGCGTATAAATCTAGCCACCCCATACTGTTTTCCCATCGAATTCCCATTGTCTTTGCCTTATCTCCTTTTGACTCATCCACCTTCTCACTGCCTTTCTGACTCAAGCCTACAACCGTTCCGCCCACGCTATGCCCTACGAATCGCAATACTTCACAACAGTGCCGGAGACTCCGCTGTTCTGGAGGAATGCACGAGACATGTTGCGCGAACGAGCCCCAGATGGCGTCGACCTAGCGAGGGTCATTGCGTTTGGTGAGTGGTCTCTCATTTATCACTACTCCGTGACGACCCGCGAACGTCCAACGCGCTGTTGATATGGTGGATCATGGCTCGGCTGGCTGATACTCATCTCGCCACTGACTGTGTCAACACAAAACATTCATGAGCTGACACCCAGACTTGGAGTTTGTCCGTGTTGAAAGACCGGATGGCACCCAAGGAAGCACCCCCGCACAGTGAGTCGTGGCCAGGGTTGATGTCAGCCGCTCACCAACAGAATTGCCATATGCAACGGCTATGGTGATTTTACTGTGGTGCATATCAATCTGCCAGACGACTGCAAACTTCATGCTTGGAACTCGCAGTGTGAGTCATTGTAACGCTGTTGGACGCGGCTGACAATCAGACAATGGCCTATCAGCCGATGTCTTCTGGGCTCCGGGAGTCAAATGGCTTGATCTTGGTTCCACATCCCGCTGGGTCCAAGCAACAATGCATGCTGCAGACTTCATATTTCTTTGGGGTGGCCACAATGACTTGAAAGTGGGTATCAGTTCTTGGTGTGCCAGCAACTTACAAGTGCTGACCTGCAGTCGCTGAACATCACCGCCCCATGGCACAAAACGCATGACCTATCCGAGTCGCCACACCTGCAAGACTTGCTGGGTTGCTTGGAGAATAACAGGCCTATTGGTCTGAATTGGGCTGTCCAATCACTCTTTGGCTGGGTGATACAAGGCTCAGTGACTCAACGCTTCCGTAATCCTTGGGGCGGCGAATACATGCGGACTTATCTGCCCACAGGTCAGCCCATTCCACGGCCTGAACTTGAAGCATCAGCACATAATGTAGTAAGTAGCCCAATTCACCACGAATGAGACCATGACTGACCAGTCCCAGTCAAAAGACGCCTTATCAACCATGGCAGTAGGACTTATCCTTTTGCCGACTTTCTTCAACGCAAGAATGAAAGGCCTTAGGACACATTCACCTTGGATGTAAGCATCACCTCACATAACACCACCCTCACCCATGGTCTCAACAAATCAGATTCTGACCATCAGGTGCGGCATCCGTGCTATGACCCATATCGAGCACATTTCCCCTGCCTCTGAGGATCTTCCGCGCGGTACCGACGACTCCCCCCTTGCCCCTCTCATTGCTCCACCCTCAGGGCCACGTCCCCGCTTGCCTCCCCGGAAAAACAAGCCTCCATCAGCAGACTTTGACATCGAAGGTCCTTGCATTTGCTGTGTCGGTTTGATCGATCTCGCAGAGGAGATGGGTAAATTGGCAGTCTATATAGAAGCGCTTGGCTTTCGTGTGCGTGGGATAATGGGGAACAAGTTGCAAATCTCAATTTGGTTGGAAGACGCGGGTGACACCGAACATGCAACCATGGCTTGTAAGTTGGTCCTTCATACACATTCATCCACAATCAGACAATCTCACCAGTCCATGCGAGTAATGTCAATCTCGTTCGCCTCAGAGAGCCAATCTGACACACAGTGAACGCCCCTGCTACCGCATTCTCAAACCACTGGCAAACTATGCGAACATTTCCCGACAATCCCCTGCCATCGATCTCATTCCTCCTGGCTGATGACCTGCTTGTCCACTCCCTGGCTGACTGCGAAACATATGCCAAAGCTGCCGCCGAACGTGTCGAACAACTGTCTTCTCGCGCCACACAAAAGTCTTCCCACTCTGCACCACCACGCTCATCGACCAACCCTAGACGCCTGACCACCCCTCCATCCTCACTCCCGCCCCAAGACCTTTTCTACCTCTGCCACTGTATGACTGCCCCCAATCCCTCACAGCCACTTTCCTGGGGTTTACCCTGGGGAGGTTCCCAACCTCAGCAACTACCTAATCCTCGTTGGGGATTTCAAGAGCAGAGGCGAATACCATGCTCAGACCATCCAGCCTATGATCCTACTTCAGGTGGGAGAGTTTGGCTATACTTCAGAAGCGAAACGGACGACCCCCAGCAACCATTTGATCAAAAGGATGGGCTTGAAATTGATTGGTTGTTCAATTCCGCATTGGTGAGACGCTTTCAACTCAAAACCATGGATGGTATGTTGCCATTCAAGAAGAGCCGTACTGGGGGTATAGCGAACATTGGCATGGGGGCAGGGGGGAGTGTAACAGCGACGAAGAGACAGCGAATAGTGCAACTCGAAGATTTCTGGCGGCTTTATAAAATCATTGGTTCCGACCTATGCCCACCATCAGGCAAACGCGGCGGACCGATCGTACGCTTCAATCGATGTTGTCACGCCCTGCGTATGCTGAGGGATGACGCTGATGGTTCTCGTAGGGAGTTGGCTCTGGAGCGTTTGCGAGAAACTAGAGCCCGGTATAAGAACGAGGGGTTTGCGGTAGGAGAGTGGCAGTGCAATGAGTATGAGAAGGCCATTGAGGGCCAATGTGGAGTATGGTGGCCCACTTCAACTCCTGTCGCAACAAGAGCGGAGGCCATGTTGTTGTACGAGGAACGTATGACCGAAGAGGTACGTTCGGAGGTATTTGCTGACGAAGAAGAAGTCGAGGAGCGTATGGAAGATGAGGAAGGGCAGGGGGTAGAGGTTCTCATGCCAACTGGAGTTGCTACAGAGATATTTGGAGAGCAGCATATCAAAACCATCATACCATCGGCCAATTTGAATGCGGACAACATGTGGGGAGATGTGTGAACCATTGCTTCATTTTGTTGATGCAGTTGTCGGAGTTTTGCTTTCTGACAAAAATCTCCTTCGATGCCACGCAGACACCTCGGGGCATGAGTCACAATTCCGCTGCATTCGGTTATCGACATGATTACGGTCATGATACCCGTCCAGACTGACTCAGGGTTCATGTCGTATGACGATTCATCCTCCAAAGTCCCGAGTCAAGCAAAAATTTGCTTTACCGTCGTGGCACTTGTCCTCTCAGTCAACGAACCAGAAGATTATTGTCGAAAGCATCGGAGATAACGTCATATACGCAATACTCGTGGTTAGCAAAAGTTCTGCAACACCAATTGATGTGGCACCCCTGATTTGACTGAAATCCGCACTAGTGCCACTTCATCGGGGTTGCGAAACTTTTTCAATTTGGGTCCGTAGGAAACTATTACTCCAGTCCGACCATATCTTTCTTGAACATTACTGTGCTCTTCTTTAACATCCGCGATGAAACGACCACGTCATTCTTCTGCATCTGATGACCTGGCTAGTTGGTCCTCGATGTCCGCTGTCGATGACGATGACGCTGCCAACTGCGGTACGTCCGAGCTGGTCGATATCTTCACTGCTAGGCTGGCTGGTAAGAGTGATTTATCTTTCAATGGTGTCTGAGCTGACACACATTCAGCAACGTCGCCAACCCTTCCCACTCCTGATCCCCGTTCGGCCTCAACACACGCACAGCTTCAAGGCCCAGCTCAAAAAGAGCCCGGATCTTCCTGTGAGCGCCTCATTTATGTCACCTCACCCTCACATCCGCTCGCGAAAATTTTGACTTGCCAATCACACACATCAAGTTATGTTAGCTGACGTATCAGCTCACTCTCGCAGTCAAAGACGAGCATACAAGAAGAGACAGGACAGACTTGCTGATCAAACGGCTTACGAGAACTCACTGGAGTCGGCAGTTCCTTTACTGTTGGGCTTGGACGAGCGAGACACTTCGAAGCGACACGTTTTTCATCACTTTTGTGAACCTGACCAACGCCGTCTTGCCTGTGTCAACGCGATCATTGAAGGCAACTACCAAGACCCCGATCGAAAGGGATTTATCTCCTTTCCCCAAGTGCTTTCGGCGGTTAAAAAATCTAGCTGTCCTCCCTTCGTCCGCCTGCGATCCGGTTACAACATACTCATGTGTGATGGACCTAAGGGCAAGGAAGTGTTTGGTATTGTCTGCTTCCGAACGCTCTCGAATTTGTCGCCTAACGACCGTTTAAAGGTGCTTCACGTCATGCGAACTCTAGACAAGGTGACGCGGATTCAGAACAATGTCATTGCTTCCAATGGAGCCTCTCATGCGAAAGACAACTCCAGCAAATACTATGGTATCATGACCGCTTATGGATGGCGAAACGCTCGCAAACCAGGCGAAACAATTGCTACGTATTTACCACAGAACAGTAAGGTCGATGCAAGGGAGGAGTTGGACAAAGAGATTCCCGAGGTGGCAAGTTACTTCCAAAGTGCTTTCAATACACTGTTCCCTCTCGGTTTGAAGGCTACGAATACCCACGCCATCGAACATAACATCCTCCCATTCCATGTCAAGGATGTCAAGTCTGCAGAACGTGGGTCAAATTCCTTAACTGTGACCCGAAAAGGCTTCTCCAACATTCCCCACAATGATCGTGATACCTCGCCTTACAACTTTGGCATGTTCTTCGCCGGCAAGGTCGTCGACGGTGCCTTTGACTCCTTGTCAGGAGTCAGCAAACTCATAAGAGGAGGGGAGTTCTGGTGGCCGGAGCTTGGGGTGATAGTGGAGCATTCACCGGCAGATGATGGCTGGGCGGAAGTGATTTGGAGGGGACATAGGGACCTCCACGGTACATTGGCGTGTTGGTCGACAGATGACGGTTTCAACAGGGCCGACCGATGGGGCTCTTCCCTGCAGATAACCCAAAGGTTTGAAAGAGGTGTGGCGCGCTTGCTGGCAAACGCTGGGGGACCCAACGGCAGAGAATGAAGTGTGTAAGTTTGTCGGTCTTTCATGACTCACGCGCACCTCCAGGGTAACCAAATTGACTGACTGTCATACCAGACTCTTCAACCACTCCAATTCCGTATCTCGTCCGATTCTGCCAGGACTTTTGATGTGGTTGGTACAGGTGCTTGTCTACTTCGATGTAAGTCATTTTCGTGAAACTTCCCAGCCACCTTATCAATGTATGCGGGTTGTTTCAACCATATCGATCTCGGGTTACTTTCGTACCTAGGATTGTGCTGATCTCCCCCAGATTGGTTATAATCTATCTTTTCCCTAGGTCATCAAACACTTTCTTGGCCTCTTCGACCGATTTCGTCGCCGGTACCAGATCGTCCACGTAGGCCAGCAACAATGCTGCATGCTGCACCTCTGTCCTTGATCTTTCCCTTCGGTCGGTAGTATAACCCCCAGTCAGATTCGATCCTTGTAAAACCTAGGTGAGCTAATCCTTCTCCTAGCTCAATCCACCACGTTCTACCAGACTGCTGTAAGCCATACACAGATTTGACTCACTTCAGAGCATTACACCCTTTCTTCGGGACTATTTCCCTGGGGTACTTCATGTAGATATCGACATCGAGTTTACCATTCAGAAACGCGCCTTCAACATCGGCCCGCCTATCCTCTAGGTATTCAGTGGTAGCAATCGTGAGCAATATTCGAAGTGATCCCGATCTTCCTACTGGTGCGAACGTCTCTTCAAAGTCAGTACCTGGTACCTGTGATAAACCTTGAGCTACTAGTCACGATTGGTACTTTAGTAGATGTCCATCCAAATCTGTCTTGACTTAGAACACCCACTTACACCCCGATTTTCCTCCTAAACCGATCGATATTTTCATGATGATGACAGCGGCGTATCTGACAGCATAAGACCGGTATGAATTTGGCCGGCCAGCATGAGACAGCATGGCCATGACTGTCCCCTTCAAGGTGCGTACCATTCTTTCAGCTGCACCATTCAACTCCGGCGTGTATCTGGGCGTGATGTAGTCGTTGATCCCCGCTGATGTGTAGAATTCTCTCTTATCGTCACTGTCAAATTCTCCACCACCATCCGATCTAACCACTCTCACTCTTTCGCCCAGTTGCTTCTCCAATTGAGATACACACTGTCCCGCGTAATCTGACGCTTCACTTTTCAATTCAATTGGTATGGCAGACAGTATCTTGTTCGCCCTTTCTATACCGACAAAGAAGTATCTCTTGCCATCGATCGAAGAATCAAATGCACCGGCAATGTCAACATCTAATGATGTTCCTTCGCCGTCTCCCTTCAACATCGGAGCGTCTTTGGCTTTCCGTAATTTGGTGAGCTTGGTTTTGAGACAGGTGGGAGACTTACCACTGGTAAAGGGATCTTTACTGTAGGTCTCCCGGTGCTTCGTCAATTGTCCCTTTCTTGCCAATGCTTTGAGTCTATCAACACCTATATGACCAAGCAGCTGATGTCCAGATTCGAGTGGTGATCGCGGTTTTGGTATTGATATGGTAATCAATGCGGTGGCCACTGTTCGACCAAACCTCACCTGCCACAGTGAGTCTTGTTTGACTAAACCAAGCTTCTCTTGACCCTTTGTTATCCAACCACCCCCATCTGTGAATGACAATTTCATCCCCACTCAAGCAGTATCGCAAGTGAGAGGAGGCTTATCTTGGAGGTTGGTACATGATGTACATCCTTCAGTGTCATCTTTTGACCTGAATCGAGTACAAGGTTGGTGTCACCAATTTCCCAGGCTATCATTGATTTTCCAGATGCCAAACCAAACTTCCTTGGTCCTGAGAACCGCCTAATGTTGGTCATGATCGATTTATGAGGAGTGATATGGTGAGTTGCACCACTGTCGATGATCCGAGTGGGAATTACCGAGGTTTAACTGAAACCATAGTCTCTGTGGATAGCGTCATCATTCCCAGCGCTTCTCTCCACCCATGAATCTTTGATTTCCTCTGGCCATACAATACTGGCCGAGGTACTCTCCATCATCATCGACCCACGACCCGCTCGCTACAGCCATTTCGGCCCAAGCATCGTGCTCTTCATCGAGGCAGGTTAGAGCCATATTGATAGGTAGGATGTCCTTGCGGGTACTATCAACGTCTTTCTCGGTAGGTTTCCCCTTCAAATTCCCTCTCCAAGTCTGAGGTTTCTTTTTCCTCTGTCCCTAGTCCACTTGTCCCTTGCTCTCTTGACCACCCTTCTTAGGATCTGATCACTGTGGTTTGCGACAGTCCTTGGCAAGATGTCCCGGTGTGTCACACAGTTGTAACACACCCTAGTTTCCTTCCCAGGCTTATCATTGAATATCGCCTCCCGAGTGACACACAGTCCCTTCTGATCATACGAGACCATCGCGTACCCCTTCCTTGTCATCCTCGGCACCGGACGGATTTTGCTTCGAGCTGTTTCCATGTTGTATGCAGCGAGTACTCTCCCCCATGCCCTCTCCGACTCCTTGAGAAGCTTCACTTCCATGTGGATGGTCCTGTAGGATGGTGCCACGATCGTGGTGAGAAACAGCTGTCCTCTCTCTTGGCTATCGTGAGTTATCCCCACTAGCCTTGTCTCAGCAACCAACTTCGAGAACGCTTCGACATGATCAGCCATCTCTTTGGCTGTCGCGTCATCCCTCAGATCCGACCTATAGAGCTTTCGTTGGATCTCTCCCTGGTTCTCCTTCATCGAAGTTTTGTGTAGACGTTCACAATTGTCCCACATAGCCTTTGTTGACTTCTTCTCAGATAGATCAAGCATCACTGCATCCGACACAGTAGCCTTCACTATCGCCTGCGCCTTATTCTCTCATGCCTGCCATCTCTCCCACTTCTTCAGTTGGTCACCCACCATCGGAACAGTTACCCCTCCTTCCACCACCAGGATCGGTGGTTGCTCTCCAGCAACATCCCCTGTGGGAATCGCTCCTACTCTACCCGGTTCCTTGTCTCTCCCCTTGACGGCATTCCAATCATCGCCAATCTGCAAGTACACCTCGATGGACTTTCTCCAAGGAGCATACGATTGGGGATCATGAGACAACTTTGGGTGGTTCTAGAGCAAAACTTCGGATGAGATGGACGTGGTGTGACACTGATTCTCTGGAGTAAAGAGGTACTCGCCTTTAAGGCAGTGGTGAGTACGATCCGACTGTCAATCTGTGG